TACTATCATTGAGTGTATTTAAAACATGCCAGAAAAGTTTCCTCGTTACGTTTTAAGACATTACAAGTCCGTTAAAATGTTGGGCCATGTTAGTGCACGAGTAGTTCCAGATTTTCAGTATTACACCGGTCACAATAACGTGGTATTCTGCTACTATTGACCCACATACGTACTTTCCCTTCGTATCACGTGAGATATCTCGGTTTACCACTGCATAGTTGATTGCCTATCCCAAATAACTCTGGTTTACCGCTGCATAGCCGATTGTCTATACCGAAACAACACGATTGTATACCAGTCAATGGATTAAAGCGGCACATTTAGAATGATATCCAGCAATTTGAGGTTTCCAAGAACACAATTCAGCTAGCTAACGAAAAATAAATCCAAACTAGACTCGATCTCGTAACACCATTACGTCGAAGATTATTTCTAACAAAGATAAACTACGCCGGTAGGAATTCCATGTACGAACTGGACGCTTAACTCGAGTACCTAAAGCGTAAAAATATCGTGCAACGTGAATTTCACGACATTAATTCGCGAGTAACGGGAAATCATTTTCCCGCAAGGAGATAGTGAATTCTTCCCGTTTTAAAGAGACGAGAGAGCTGTCGGTTAGACGCCATCCATCATATTCTACTTTCAACGCGGCAGAATTCAATTTAATCGCGCCACGTGGCTCGTCGATAAAAACTAGATGAAATTTTACGGTTCGTATTCGTAGCTCGCTTCACCGAAAGTACTCTGCGATACAATGTAATTCATTACCTTTTGTAGAACGAATGATATAATTTCTCTCCTCTATAGGAGGTAAGTGATTATTTCAATCGCGGGAGAATTCCATTCTCCGGATTTAAGAACGCCCCGCGGTGGATGGGAATCGCTAAGGAACGAAATAAAAGTAAATCTAATTCGATTCCGGGATTGTTGCAAACGATGGCTGCGAAAATAAATTAGGTTCGAGCGCTCGATCGGTGGAGAATACAAAAGTTCGGGGACGCTCGAGCGGCTCCATGACAAGTTTATAAAATTTAATAAGCTCGTAATATAATTCAAGTGACCGAAGAGTGCGACTACTTCGGAAGTTCGAAAGTTCAACATGCATATCATAAGGAAAAATGAAGTTATGCTAACTTCAATTGCTTCGAGATTGAAGGAGAATTTTTTAGTCGTTACCGTCGAGTTCAGCGTTTCCCGTAAATTTCTAACAGCTCGTTACTGAAAAACCAAACAAAACGTCCTTTAAGTTTTAATTATATTTATATCTGTCGTCTAAACTTCCTAATTCCATTACGAAAGATAAAGCCTTTATTATTTGCACGGGCGAATAGTTTCACGGGGTCATCGAAATTTACACCTATTTCTACGCGAACGCAGAGCGTTAGTTTCGATTGAAAAACAACGACACGATCGCAGTCTTAATTAGGAAGTTGCTGTCCGGCTATTTCTGTTCGAACGGCTTACCCGAATAATGCGGATAATCCGTGGAGAAAATTGGTTTACCGTTAATACTCGCTGCATCAAAGTAATCCAAGCATTCGTATGCCTTGGGCGGTGCAAATATTCGACGATCTCGAAATTCTTCTTCGTAGGATTCAGCTATTTCCCAACACGTCGATACGGATTATTTGGGTATTATTAATTATACGACGTGTAGTCCGTTAATTCGGGTTTGCATCGAACATTAACCGTGCCGTCGTATCATGAAAAATCACTATGCGTCGTCGAAAGACGTCAATATAAGATGAATCAAGGTGGTTTATCTAAATAAAGAATTACATACAGGGTGTTCGGCCACCTTTAGCAAAAATTTTAATGAGCGATAGTAGAGGCCAAAATAAGACGAAAATCAAGAATACTAATTTGTTGATGGAAGCTTCGTTAAAAAGTTATTAACAATTAAATTCAAAAATTTCAAATCGTTCTGGAAAAATTATTTTTGGTTGCGGGGGGTCAACTACAATCATTTTTGGTGAGTACACATACCTCCGAAATCCTATCTACTTTCGAGAAAAAAAATCGAGTAGGTGCTGAAATTTTTCGGCGAAAAAAAATTTTTCAAATCGTTTTAAAAAAATTATTTTCGGTTGCGGGGATCAATTACAATCATTTTTTATCATTACACATACCTCCGAAATCGTACGCACTTTCGAGAAAAAAATTCCTTACTGAAAATCCAATTAGGTGCCTAAATTTTTCAACGGAGAAAAAAAATTGCAAATCGTTGTGGAAAAATTATTTTCGGTTGCGGGGGTCAATTACAATCAGTTTTTGTCATTAGACATACCCACGAAATCCTGCCCACTTTCGAGAAAAAAAATAGAGAAGGTGTGAAATTATTCGAGAAAATTAAAAAATTGCAAATCGTTGTGGAAAAATTATTTTCGTTTGCGGGGGTCAATTACAATCAGTTTTTGTCATTAGACATACCCACGAAATCCTGCCCACTTTCGAGAAAAAAAATAGAGAAGGTGTGAAATTATTCGAGAAAATTAAAAAATTGCAAATCGTTGTGGAAAAATTATTTTCGGTTGTAGGGTTCAATTACAGTCATTTTTGGTGAATAGACATACCCCCGAAATCTTGCGCATTTTCGAGAAAAAAATTCAGTAAGAGCGGCACTTTAAACGTTAATAACTTTTTAACGAAACTTCCACCAACAAATTAGTATTCTTGATTTTTGTCTTATTTTGGCCTCTACTATCGCTCATTAAAATTTTTGCTAGAGGTGGCCGAACACCCTGTATAATGTCAGAAAATAATATTGTGCTCAGAGTCGTTCAATAAGTCCTTAGAAAAAGATAGAAAAACAAATTATTTTAGGTAGATTTTTTTTTATTTTTCAACATAATCTCCTTATAGCTCTATACACTTTTCCAAGTGTTCCTCCAATCAACAATAAACATGAAATCATGTGGTGGATATAACTGAGACTTTGACAGCTGTCTGTCATGATGCTTACTAAAAACAAACCATTATTGAACGACCCCCGTATACTAAATGTATTGTGGGAAGAAAGAAAGATCAGACTTGGACATTCTAGTGAGTTTCATAATAGATTCATTTAAAAATTGTACCAAAATTGTTTTATTATGTATAATTCATCCTGTCGTTATTTCATCATTTTGTATTGTGTGCTACAATTGGATACGTAAGAGAATATTAGCAGAATTTCAAGTTCCTCCCAATTTCCAAAAGTGTACCTGTAAATCGCTTTATCACACCCAAGAAATAATAGACTAATGGTGTAATATGCGGTGTTTAAGGAGACCATTTTACAGGAACATCGTTCCTCCGTGTTCTGTCGATTAAAGTGAATAATGCGTGTGCACCAGTACTCTGCTGCTACAATGAAATGTGCAGGAACTCCGTCATTACTATTAGCAATATGTCTCCCAATAGCACTGGTAGGTTATTATTTGAAAATATCAACGTGTGTATATATAGACTACACAATTGGACGAATTTTTTGTATCCCGTATTTGCCATCGTTAAGTTTTTACTATTCGAAGTGGGAAAATTAAATACGTTTTAAAGGAGAATTTCGAACGTTTCGCAGCAACATTGACAGTTTTGTTGTTCGTAGGGTATACATTGCAGATTGATCGTTTAACCTGGGTACACCCTGTATGTATTGGAGGGAACGATATTACAAGGGGATGGAAAGAATGGAGGAGGGAAAAGGAAGGGGTGTGGGTGGGTAATAGGAGCCGGGGCTCTACCCGTGGCCGGTCAATTAAATCTCGTCGACGTCGCGTGCAGGAAGCGAGCGCAGCGTGCACCGGAGGCTTCCTTTCCGAATTCGAGTGGGTGGACCCTAACTCTCGAAATTTATTAGCCTGTGCGACCGACCGGCTAATCCCGGGCTAGGTAGCCCGAGGATGCAACTATTACCCACAGCGTACACCAACCGGCCGCAAGCGAGCTCGTCGAGAAGCAGGTGAGCCAATCACCGCGGCGAAATGAAACAGACAACGGTATTTGACAATTTACCAAAAAAATCCATCGAGTCGCAAACCTACTTTGTTCGTTCCGAACTGTCAGTTGACATGCCCTTAAAATAAATATTGATCGAAGTACACGTATACTTTCCACCGCGTACGACTATTAAATGTTTCGAAAATAATCAAAATTTTCTAAATTTGCGTCTAAACGAAGATTCGTTTCGGTATGCGTGAAAGAAATGTGCTTGTGAATATGTTACGAGCGTAGAAAATAGTTTGTTTTTAGAAAAGTTAGACGACTGTGGGAGCGTAAACAGTGCGAACCGCTATAACATTCTGTTTGGTGTGCAATACGCACCACGGAGTTTCCCAGAAGTTTCATGCGGTGGCTAGAGGTGCGCTGAACATGTTTATACGGTTAACAAAGTGGAGGGAAACGTTATCCATTGCACAGATTATTTACAAAATAAATCGTGATGATTATTAATAGATGACTTCAAGCCTACCTGTTCTCAATGAGGCTACGATTTTATTTTGCAGAGATACCGCGATTCTAAACAATCACTTTCTGCCTTTTTGGAACCAAATTCAAGACTCTATGGGTCAATATTCCGTCGATAAAATTAAAAAATAAGTCGGTCGAAAGCTGCGAATTCTGATTCCAAAACGCATTTCCAAGTTCGCCACTGCTCAGACGATTGTAGCCTTTAATTCTTGGGGGTGGAGTATTTATTCTACAAGCATGTTTAGACGGTTAACAAAGTGGAGGGTAACGTTATCCATTGTTCAGATTATTTTCAAAATACATAGGTCAATATTCCGTCAATAAAATTATAAAAAAGTCGTTCGAAAATTGGGATTTTGATTCCAAAATATTGTTCATCAATATAGCCTTGTAACCTTTAATTCGTGGGGGTGAAGTATTTATTCTAGGCTTTCGCCATTTTTCGACTATGTCGTCGAGAATCCCGCGGCGTAGTATTAGGCTACAGTCTGGAGCACTCGTATCGAAGTCCTAGCCTTAGTCAAAAGTCAGTATAAAATTCCTGTTACCTCTCTCTGGCACGGGTTCACGCAGACCAGCCCCAAGCTGCACTTCGCTTATCGCCGAATATATGCCGGGAATCTGGGCGCTGCAGCGCAGATTCAACTGGCCGTTCGAGTAATGGAACGGTTCAAGGTTCACCCTGATCTCGATCCACTGAAGATTCTCTTGGTGATCGGCATGGGACGCGGCAGCGTCGTTGTGATTCCACTTCTGCTGCGAGGACTGCTGCGGCTGATGTTTTGTGTAGGAATCCACCTACGAGAAATCAAGCGTGAATTCATCGCGGAGTTTCAGACGTCATGGGGTAGGGAGGGGGAGAGGAATTCAGTCGCGCGAGATCTGTACGGCACGCATATAGTCGGAGAACGTTCGCGCGAGCGAGTAAGGAATAGAAAAAAAAAAAAGGAGAAGCGAGAGATATTCCGAGGAGCCGAGGAAATGTAAATCTGCTTTTAACGAAATCCGTTCATCTGGAATCGGGAAGCGAACCCTTCGTCTAGCTCGCCCTACTTCATCCCTTTCCCACCCTTCGCTACCGCATGCTGGCACCCTCCGTTAAGCACAAAGACGACTCCTTCCAGTTCGATGAAAAGTCGAAAGACTTCACCATTTCCGGCGCCGTGTTCTCCCGATTAACGTTTTTCTTTTTCTTTTTTCTTTTTTCTGTTTTTTTTTGCTTTGTGAGAAAATGCCGCTCTAGCTAACCCGGGAGTATTCACTGGAACGCTCGAGTCCCGAGTTTCTTAATGGATCATTATCGTTCTAAGAACTGGTGATGGCGTCGAAAGTAAGTTATTCGGTTGAGCGGTCCACGAGCTGAATCGCAAGTGGGATCGGCTAAGATTTACTTAAAACTTTCCAACGAGGAAAAATACTAACGACTTTCCCGATACTCATCCGCGTGCGCCGTTTCCGGCGTTTTTTCGACGTCAGACCTTATGGTTAGTTGGGTTTGAGAGCACGATCATGAATTACATCTTATAGTTTGGACTTCGGAATCGACGAATAAAATAAGATGAAATTACACTGGCGTGCAAAATTTAGGGAACATTAAATTTTCATTGAAAAATTGCTGATATTTAAAGTGTGATAATTTCATAACAAAACATCATACAGCAATCATTCTGAAATCGTTTTAAAGCTTGGAACCTCTATTTTCAGAATCCTCTAGCAGTTTTCTCTAGGGTCATTTCTGCGTCGCGTGGGAGGGCTGCAAGCTTTAAAACGACTTGTTTTGTTGCGAAATTATTACTTTAAATATCAGCAATTTTTCGATAAAAGTCTAGTGTTCCCTAAATTTTGCACGCCAGTGTATATTTCCCGTAATTATCTGCTAACTTTTCGTTTCAGAATCATTAGTATACTCTGTAGAGGTGTAAACCGTGAAGCATATTAGGATTCTTACGACGTGAACGAAGACACGACGAAGATCTTACGAAAATGAGATCTATAAGTGGATTCCTGAGCGAGGCTATCTAGCATACTCATGAGTCGGGGTATAGAGACGTTCGGTATTAGGAAAAGCGATCTGCTTGAATGGATTAGTGTTTAACTTTGAAACTGGGGTGAAGCAGGGATTTCATGATAATAATCTTACCTTGAGACATGACTCATTACCGAGTTGGGTTTCTAGCGAGTGCTTGCGTCACTGTTAATAGGAGCACTCAGGAATGTTACTATAAGCATCTCTCAGAGGATGAAACAAGCTAGCCTTCTCTTAATTCCACGAAATCTATAAATTTATTGATTTATCAAATGGTTAATGCCTAGCGTCAGATTATAGATGCACTCAGTCAGAGAGAAATGCTGCAGAAATTATGTCAAAAATTTTTGACGACCTCGAAGAGGAAATTTATCAGGAATATCCTTCACAAAATATAAAGCTCAATAATGAGAAAATAGATGAAGCAGTCGTACGAGAGTAAACAGTTATTATTATTCGTTTGTTTCTTTTCTGTTAAATAGGTTAATTGCTCAAATAATTGTTCTATATTATAAGTCGTCCATTGAAGCTCTCAGCGAGTTAAACAATCATAATTCGTGTATTCAGCAACAAATCTTTCGACGAACGTTTAAAATCCGATTCGAGGCGCGAACCAACAGCGCTTAAAATCCGGTTTCTATGTGCAAACCAATGTTATATGTTGTAACGTCGAGTAATGTATGATATCACGAGCATGACGGATATAAGAACAAATGTCCGGACATTCCTGTCGTGTCTAGCGGAATGAATAACGCGTTTTTAAACGTAACACGTTACTCTCGCGCGTTATTATTGTTATTTCGACGAACGTTCTTTATAAATTCGTGGAAACGCAGGAGCGAGAACGCGAATTTCGACGAAGCACGAAAGCTAAGGGCAGAGTTATCGAACAGCAATTCGCTGGCAGAGTTTTTCGCCGCGCGATTCGGGGATGGATTTAAAAATTTTAGTGAAATTTGTCCAAAAAAAAAAATAAATAAAAACTAGAAATTGAACGAATAAAATCTGAAAATAAAGGAAACAATTTTCTAGTCGTTTTTTTTTCTTAAAAAGGAATCGAAACATTTTCGCCGATATTCGAATTAATAGATGCGCTTAACCTTTCAATTCCATCGATTTATCGATTTCATTTTATAGTATATCAAAGACCGATGCCTGTTTCGTACTTTTAAATTGGATTTAATGATTCAGATTATTCGTTAATTTATTACTTTAAATAAAATATATTCCGCGACGTAGAGGAATCGATTCTGTGTAAAATTGATGGCACGTTGAATAATAGTTTCGTCGGAAACACTTGTTCGCGAATGTAGAATTCAATTTCGAAATTTTGAACAGATGTTTACGCGCGATACTTTTCTACAATTTCGAAAGACTTTTTAGCGAGGTTTACTATAATGTTTCGTTAGATTAAGAATAAATTCAGTGGTGTATAGGAATACCCATAAGTGCAACTCAAAGTAATGATGAACTCGAAGAAGTTTCGCCGGGAACCTCTCTGCGACGAGGAATCAGGGTTACCGTCGTGAAATTAGATCTGTGGGGACTTTTGATCATTGACAATCGAATGAAGCCATTGCTACGAAGCCTTTGAAAAGAATGTTCGCGGCTCGATGACGAGAAACGTCACCCCTAACTTTGTAATTGCGATTCGTGTCAAGTTCCACTTTAAGTACTTGAAATCTACGTCGCATTTTTATGAACCTTTTATCATGACTTTTATCAGACTTCTATGACTTAAAACAGAAATTTAAAATTGGTATGCCAGAAGGAGTGTATTATATAAATACAATTGTTTGTTTGAAAAATAATAGTTACGAGGTACATTGGTCCGTATCAAGCAACTCATTTATGTTTTCTGGCATTGGATTTAGATCATCTGCGGTAATAATTACATTTAGAGGTATGCAGAAGAAAAATATGCTGTGTTTAAAAAAAAAGAATGAAGGTACGTGATACAATTTAAATTGTAGTAATTCCCGGCATTCCGTTCGGATGCAATACTTGGCCACCACGATAAAAACCCGGAAAAATTCATATCCGTCGTCTGCGAGCGTATATTTCCCGTATTTAACAATTTGTCAAATTCCCGTCAGTCGAGACAAACGTACACGCGCAGATATGTTTGGAGCGCGGCAACGCGGATTTCCCCGTTTGAAAAATTATGCAATTTCCACCCCTCCGGTCGCGTCTGAGAGGGGAGAAAAACACGATTCGATTGACTAATGGTTTAGCAGCGTCGATGCTTATCTCCTTTCGTAGGGGAGATCGCGACGAGTCGATAAATTTCGCGCCTTGAGCAGCCATTTCCTGAATTCAATACAGCACGGGGGTGAAACGTGAAAATGATCGCGATCGACCGCCGATTATGGAGATCAGGATACCATGTAGCGCCTCGATCATTTATTTTCTTTCCTTCGAACATAGGAAAAAATGTTGGAACACTCAGAACGTTTAAAGATGATTCTTACAACGTTTTGTACATACAATATACAACCAATTATCTGATACTCATTAAATAAAAAATATACAAACAAGTACTTCATGGAAAAAATTTTGGAATACTCAGAACGTATTTAAGATGGTTCTTACGATATTTCAACCCTCAATCAAAATTCAATATGAAAATATCGAACGAATATACAACCATTTATCTGGTACTCGTTAAATAAAAAATATACAATCAAGTACTTGACGGAAAAAATTTTGGAATACTCAGAACGTATTTAAGATGGTTCTTACGATATTTCAACCCTCAATCAAAATTCTATATGAAAATATCGAACGAATATACAACCATTTATCTGGTACTCGTTAAATAAAAAATATACAATCAAGTACTTCATGGAAAAAATTTTGGAATACTCAGAACGTATTTAGGGTGGTTCTTACGATATTTCAACCCTCAATCAAAATTCAATATGACAATATCGAACGAATATACAACCATTTATCTGGTACTCGTTAAATAAAAAATATACAATCAAGTACTTGACGGAAAAAATTTTGGAATACTCAGAACATATTTAAGATGGTTCTTACGATATTTCAACCCTCAATCAAAATTCAATAGGAAAATATCGAACGAATATACAACCATTTATCTGGTACTCGTTAAATAAAACGTGTAGAATGAAGTACTTGAGAGTGAACAAAAAGTTTCTCAGTACGATCGATCGAACGTCACAAGTAGATTACCGTGCCTTTTATCGTATTAAGGTCACGGAACGTCGATTAATTAAATAATTATTCGACCAAGCCCTTGCCCTACAACAAAATTAGTTTTGACCGTCCCAATTATATGGTTCCATTAACTTGGGCGCAGCAACGGAATTGGTAGGAACGAAGATTACGAGGAACTTCGTTGGGGGTGCAAATTCGTACACACAGGCTGTGTAGGCTCGGAGGCAAACAACGGTACGTCGCAAGAGGTTAAATCCTCGGCGCTTCGTTCAATTAGAGAAAACCGAGAAAACGCGTGCCGCGGCGGCGTGTGCTCGAGGTCGCTTTCTGTATTCGTCGAAGGCAGCCAGAACTCTGGGAGCGACGATGAGAAGCTCAAAGGGGCGGAGGTCGTTGAAAACGAGCGACGGGGATTACCAGATAGCGACAAGGACGACACCAGCGTCGCGCATTCCTCGTCCGGGGATGGCGATTGTCGGCGAACGATGCAATGTACGATGTAACACGACAAAGTGCAAGAGTGTATACGCAAACACACCGACGGCTACGCACGCTCTGACTCTCTGTGCACCTATACCAACCCCCAAAA